GATTTTTTTTCCAAGTCTATTTGTATTTTTTCAGTTTTTAGAAATCTCACTTAACTTTCTGAAATCTCACCCTGCTTTTGAGAAAGGGTGAGAAATTGTCACCCATTTTTTTTCTATGATGAAAACACTGCTTGTATAACATTTTAATAAATTTGAGAAAAATCAACATTAGAAAAAGTGTTTACAAAAAGGTGACTTTTCTGAAAACCGCATTGTTTAAAGCAGAAATACTGAACATTGACAGAATAATTTTAAATTTTACAGCCGGCCATAAATTTAATTCTGGAAATCTGAGCATTCTACAATATCTAGCTAAATATTCTTCTTTACGCATTTTTTTCACTTATTTACTTAAGGAGTTTTCACTCTCAGTTTTGAAAATAAAACTCGCTATATTATTTATTAGGGAAGGCAATATGACATTCTATTTCTTACTTTAAAAGTATAGTGCTACCTCACCTCCTTCTTATATGATGTCATTGTTTTATTTTACACTAAAATTTAATTTTGCCTTTAAAAGAGCTGACATTCTAATAGATTTTTCACCCACGAATAAAAGTACCATGCACCACTTACAGAAAAAGACTAACACCTATTTTATATATTGCTCAGAACAAATCCTCACCAATAAGCTGATTTAAAAGCATCACTACTAACACTTAAAACCCGCCTGAAAATATGCAAGTTGCCAGGAGAAAATAAACGCGGCTTAACACTCATGTCCATAAAATATTCAACCTTCGAAAAATCTTAAGAAAAGTCGTCTGCCAAAGAGCTGTTGCCAACGGGACCCTCCAAAGTATCGACACAGAAGATAAAATCTCGTGAAGATAGAAGGAGAGAGGATGGAAAATCCGATTGAAGCAAAATTCACACAAGTAGAAGTCGTGGCGCATAGCTGCCAATATTCAATATTCTAAGTTTGCATACGCAAAACGTTGGGGTGAAAAATTGCGTTTCCAAGACTTCAAAGGCGCATGGGGAGAAACTGCAAAGTACACATTTCTCAGAAGTTGAGGTCTTTCTTAACGAGATCAGAGAGCTGAACAAGACACCAAGAATAGTTGTTGAACTGCAGAGTCTAGTACTGCAGTTTACCTCGGCTTATGGTTTATTGAGTTAGTTGTGGATTTAAGTTATGAGTCAGTAAAAGACTTAAGTTTGCCGAACCTCATATGTTCTAGGTGCTTTAGTGTAGAAATGTCCATTAACAATAATTTTATGACATTCGGCTTTAATAAACGTAGAAAATTCACGTTTACGAACAAAAATAATATTCAATGAAATAAAATATCCAAACGATAAATAAATAAATTATTAATGCAAGCAAAATCAAACGATAAATAAATGAATTATTAATGCAAACAAAATCAAACGATAAATAAATGAATTATTGATGCAAGCAAAATCAAACGATAAATAAAGTAATCAATGAAACGAATAAACGAGTGAGGAAATAAGCAAAAAATGTAGACACGGTAATGAAGAAAAAAAAATAAAGTAAAAATAGTCAAACATGAAAATAAATAAATAAGGAGAAGTAGAATTTAGAATATTTATCATCATGATAAAAAATTAAAGAAAAATATTTTTCTTTAGATAAGAAAATAAATAAAGTGTTCCAAAAGAAATTTCCATCAGGTAAGTCAGAAAACGATAAAAGTTCATTGCTTTGATATTGAATGCAGTCAAAACAAAAACCTCACATTAAATAAACAACTTGATAACCCATGAACTTACTATTTATAATCAATACGATAATCGGTAGATAACAAGTTTGAAAACGCGGAAGTATGAAAAAGAAAGATTTACGGCAGAATTAGGGTAATTATTATTTTTTTTTTTTCCGTTTAGCAAATTTAGATTAATAATAGAGTTATGGATTTACAACTTTCGTGTATAATTGTGCCAAAAATACGCGAAATATAAAAAAATGAAACAGATAAGATTTTACTAACTAAATTGAAAACAGACTTGATTAGGAAGAATGAATATTTTAAATTGACGCCTAATTATCCAAACTGCATGGGATTAATTTCGCAAAACTTTTCCAAATTTCGAAATGAACAGAAGAAATAGGAATTTTTTTTGTAAAATTCTTATTTTTTGTTCTATATTTTGAAACAATGCCTTTATTTCATCCATATACGCATTAATCATTTTTATAAACTTAATTTGCCAGTCTAATTTATTTTCCTATTAATAGATTGAATTAACAAATGAGATATTTATAAAGTTATAGTTAATAAAAGTTTAATAAGCTAGAATAGAGAATTAAAACATTTAATTTTGAATATTTAAAGTGAAAATAAAATCACACTTCAGTGATTATAATTTAATTCGAAACACACAATTATTATTAAATTAAAAATAGACTCAAACATTATAATCTAATTTTAAATAATTAA